TGGGGCAACCTGCTCTACCTCCTGAGCTACTGCTGCCCACGACAACAGCCTTCCCCGTCGTGAGTCCAGATGGGTGAGTTCATGAATGTTAGTGAGAGTGTGACGTAGATCTGTCAGGATTTTCTAAATCTAGAGATTCACCGTCTGCTTTCTATCAGAAGCTACTGTAGGAGATAGGTGTAGGAGACTATTATCTATCAGAAGCTACTGCAGGAGATAGGTGTAGGAGACTATTTTCTATTAGAAGCTACTGCAGGAGATAGGTGTAGGAGACTATTTTCTATCAGAAGCTACTGCAGGAGATAGGTGTAGGAGACTATTATCTATCAGAAGCTACTGCAGGAGATAGGTGTAGGAGACTATTTTCTATTAGAAGCTACTGCAGGAGATAGGTGTAGGAGACTATTATCTATCAGAAGCTACTGTAGGAGATAGGTGTAGGAGACTATTTTCTATCTGAAGCTACTGCAGGAGATAGGTGTAGGAGACTATTTTCTATCTGAAGCTACTGTAGGAGATAGGTGTAGGAGACTATTTTCTATCTGAAGCTACTGTAGGAGATAGGTGTAGGAGACTATTTTCTATCTGAAGCTACTGTAGGAGATAGGTGTAGGAGACTATTATCTATCAGAAGCTACTGTAGGAGATAGGTGTAGGAGACTATTTTCTATCTGAAGCTACTGCAGGAGATAGGTGTAGGAGACTATTTTCTATCTGAAGCTACTGCAGGAGATAGGTGTAGGAGACTATTTTCTATCTGAAGCTACTGCAGGAGATAGGTGTAGGAGACTATTATCTATCAGAAGCTACTGCAGAAGATAGGTGTAGGAGACTATTATCTATCAGAAGCTACTGTAGGAGATAGGTGTAGGAGACTACTTTCATGTTCAGCCAGCATGAAGCACTCAGAGTGAACCGTTAGAATCAGACATAATCATGTTCCACACCTTTAAAATGACAGAATCACATTTTGGTCTTCTCTTGGACTAGCTGTTAGCTCATCACTCCTGAAGGACGATAAACTTGGTGTTAAACAGGAAGGCCGTCGATGTTTAACATGGACACTTTCCATAACAGCAGAGCTTGTCTAGTCCACTAAACTTTAAGTCTGTTGTTGGTTTTCCATGACTGAAGGAACCAGCATCCGCATCAGGCTACTGCCATGAAAGCAAAAGGAAAGAGGAGTTTGGCTAAAGTGACAGGCTGGGAGTAAAGTATGGCCGGACCGACAGTAAACAAGCTCAGGAATCTATCCCGCTGGAGCGTCAGCTGGAAAACATCCCAGATCCTCCACAGCTGCGTTTGAAGTCTGAGTCAGATCCCCATCCCTCCACCGGCCTAACACCATCATGATTCTGCACACACCTTGCCCAGGTAAAGAAACACATCTATGTCAACACTTTAGTAACTGGGTAACTTGCAACACCCTGTAGAAGCGGGGGAACTGTGACAAAACACTAATAAGCTTTTGGAGGTGGGAGGAGAACATCCTGCCTAACGTGGCGTGTGTCTGCCCCGCAGGCTTCAAACATATTTCTGTTTCAAACCCATTTGAACCTCAGGTCCTAGGAGCAGACCAGAGTTTGTTGTCATTCATGATGCACACGTCAAATCTAAAAACATGGAAATGCAAGTTCTCGTTTGTCATTTAAAGCAAGTTACCAAAAGCTTTAGCAGCCTGGGAGGGTGTCAACAAACAGTCCTGCAATCATCCAGGTGGCTGCTTTGATTTGGTGCCCTGGGTGGTAAACATAAATGGAAACGGTTATCTATAAGCAGCCGACTGCCTTCTGCACTCTCGAATGTTATATGTGGAAAAGAAAATGTGTTCATTGAAAAGGCAAAAACAGAAAATGTCTGGATAAGTTAGTCTTTCAGCAACAGAAGCATAAATGCCTGCTGCATTTTCATTCAAGCTCTAAACTGGACTTCTGTTGAAAGTGAAGGAGTTGTTGTTGTTTGGGTCAAACACTAAAACTTACCTGGCAGCACTCTGAGCGGCCACCGCCGGGCCAAACCAGGTGTTCTGCTAGAGTTGTTGAAACACGATGAGGTCAGAACCGATTCAAATGCACGATGTAGATTGGGCATCCGCCCCTTTAAAGACACATCATAACAGAACCCCGGCTGGGTGACATCACAGGGACGGATCAGCTGAGTGGGGTTGACGCGTGTCATGTGACTGTAAACCAAAACAGTCTGGGAGGTCCAGCCTCTGGTCCACCCAGATTCCTGTTGCAATTCTAACCAGTTCTAACCAGTTCTAGCCCGTTGTAGCCAGTTGTAGCCAGTTCTAGCCTGTTGTAGCCAGTTCTAGCCCGTTGTAGCCAGTTGTAGCCAGTTCTAGCCCGTTGTAGCCAGTTCTAGCCACTTGTAGCCAGTTCTAGCCCGTTGTAGCCAGTTGTAGCCAGTTCTAGCCCGTTGTAGCCAGTTCTAGCCCGTTGTAGCCAGTTGTAGCCAGTTCTAGCCCGTTGTAGCCAGTTCTAGCCAGTTGTAGCCAGTTCTAGCCCGTTGTAGCCAGTTGTAGCCAGTTCTAGCCCGTTGTAGCCAGTTCTAGCCAGTTGTAGCCAGTTGTAGCCAGTTGTAGCCAGTTCTAGCCCGTTGTAGCCAGTTCTAGCCAGTTGTAGCCAGTTCTAGCCAGTTGTAGCCAGTTCTAGCCAGTTCTAGCCCGTTGTAGCCAGTTCTAGCCCGTTGTAGCCAGTTCTAGCCCGTTGTAGCCAGACGACCTCTCTGAGCAAAGCAGAGAAAAGACCACTTAAGCCGGGAGATGGTGCACCAGAATTCAGAAAACCCAACCAGTAAGACAACTGGTAAAATCATCAGACAGCGTGGGATCAACTCGGCTCGTGGCGTCCAAAGAGCAGAAAGGGGTCAGAGGATCTAGAGAGGCCACGGTGGCACAGAGTTAAGTGCTCGCCCCACTATCAGAAGGTTGCAGGTTCAAGCCCCGCTCAGTCTCTCTCTGTCATTGCGTCCTTGGGCAAGACACTAACCCACCTTGCCTGCTGATGGTGGTCGGAGGGACCGGCAGCCTCGCCTCTTTCAGAGCGCCCCAGGGCAGCTGTGGCTACATCGTAGCTCATCACCACCAGGGTGTGAATGTGTGGATGGATGACTGATTGTGTTGTAAAGCACCTTGGGGGGGTTCCAGGACTCTAGAAGACACTACATCAAATACAGGCCATTTACCATCTCAGAGTAGTAGGCGGCCATGTTTCTAATAATCCTTCTAATGACACTATAATATTCTCCAGGTACTACATTACACCTAAAGTATCCAGATTACCCCTTACTTCTGCCTCACTGGCAGCTCTACAGTCAGATCCATGAAAGCATCTCCAAATAAGAGACAGGGTTCATAAAATATAATCCTAACTCCATCCGGTCCAGCCGTGGCAGCAAAGACACGAGTAGGCAGCAGCTGAGTGGCGACTCCTCTCTGACTAGTGCTCAGCATCTTCAGGTGAAGGTGAGGAAAGGTGTGGGAGTTTCACTTGTCCTGAAGTCTGAATCAGGTTAAAATCAGACTTGTTCAACAGAATAACACAGATTATGTTTTAGTCTCTGATGTTTGTGGCTCTCAGTTTCAACACTTCAATTTCTAAATTATACCGGCTCCGCAAGCACTTAGCAGGCGGGCCGAGACGCTAATTACTGCCTAAGCAAAACACTCACTGTGTATGTGTGTGTGTGTGTGTGTGTGTGTGTGTGTGTGTGTGTGTGTGTGTGTGTGTGTGTGTTTAAAAGTGCTCTCAGATATAGAAACACATACCCTAACCCTAACCGGGGTCGGAAAACTGCGTAAGCAACGTTCCACGCAAACTTTGGGATTTATGAAGGAAAACTTAGCGAAAAATGTGCACAACTATAAGTTGACCAAGGACCTGGCTCACACACATGCTGGGCATGGAGAGCACCTGCAGTGCTGCTGCTGAGAAGATACAGTTATGAAATCCTGCAGCATTATCACCTGTACACACACACACACACACACACACACACACACACACACACACACACACACACACACACACACACACACACACACACACACACAGCCTGAAGCCAGAATATCAGCAGGGGGACAGATTGAAACAGAACATCATGTGTGTGTGTGACAGTGTGTGTCCTGTCACTGTGACCCGATTGATCATGTGACCTGTCTACTTGTACAGGGGAGATCTCCGTTTGGGTGACTGGTTAGCATGTGTGACTTTCACCCGGGAGTCTGGGGATCAAATCCCGATTGGGCCATTTTTTATATCCACCACAGATCTCTCTGAAGAAGTCAGCATTGACGGCTTCAGCAACGCTGTGCCACTCCGTGGATTTTCTCTTATTTGTTTTACAAAAGCACTTCCTTTCATTTCTCCTCCTCACCCACAGGTACCTCAACTTCTGCTTCTGTGAAATAGCGCTTCCTTGATCTGCCTCGATCTGCGGTCGCCATGTCATTGGCGGAGCGCTGCAACAGCCGGCTTATGTATATGCATGAGGTCCACAAGGCACTTTGCATTGACCATTTATGGCAGTAAGTGGGCGTGGTGAGGGCGGGATGTGACTAAAATGCAGCTGAGGAACATTCTCGTTAGTCTCAGATTTATGAAGAGGAGATTGCGTGCAGCTGTGTGTCCTCCATGTTTGATAGATCACACACCTGCTTGGCGTGAGTACTTTTGTTGCTGAGCTTAAGTACGGTTTTAGTAAGGATTCGACGCAGTGTTTGATAAATGAGACCCCTGGTTTGTTGCACATCCTCTGTCAGGGGGTCTCGATTGCAAATGAGCTGGGGACACTCATCAGAAGTATTTATGACATGTTAGTTTTGTCATTTCGAAAGAGAATAAAATTAAAGCTTGTTTCCATAACGCTACAACAGCGTTAGCTCCCACCAGACAGGCAGAGGTGGGAGTGTCTCACACACGACATTTTACAGCCGTGTAGGACAATGTCCTCATGTGGATGTATTTAACAGAGGCAGGTCTGAGGAAGGTTCTTACCTCGATCTGGAGCAGGGCCTCTTCTCTCTGACGAAGCACCTCCACATCTTCTTCACTGATCTCTGACAGGAAAGCTTGAGCCCCTCCATCTGAACCTGCTGCTGCTCCAAACAGGAGGTCCTCTTGATTATGCTCACTGGACGGGGTCTGGGGACTCTGTGGAGCACACACACACACACACACACACACACACTTTGGTCACTTACAGTCCACGTTCTACACCCTCAGAGGGTCGCTGCTCTGATATCGGAGTCGCTCCGCTCTCTGAAAAGTGATGATTGCTCTAAGATGAAATCAGCACGATCTTCTCTGGACACTGAAGGGCTCCAAACTGCAGCACTGATCGCAACTTGTTGCCACCACAGCTCTGCTTTACGGACATTTGCCGACATCTTGTTTGTGGTGTGAGTGGATGTAAACATTTGGATGGGAGGTAAACGTTTCACTTGCTGGTTTTTCTTGTAAAACAATCAACATATTCATCCCATAGAAGCAGCGTAGCAGAGGTTGTGTTTCAGAGCACCTGCATTAGCCTACTGGTGTGTGTGTGTGTGTGTGTGGGGGGGGGGGGGGGGCTCTCTGGAGAGTGATGTCTGGTAGGGCTGAAGGATTTTGGAAAATAATCTAATTGCAATTTAATTTACGATTATTTTCCCACTGAGCTTTTCTCATTTTTCAACAGAAAACAAACATAAGAGAAGCAAAACAAAGAATCTATGTAACCTGTACTGAATATAAACAAGTTTATGTATCTACATATTTATTTACATTTCATATCACCAAGTTTACTCGTCTCCATAAACATAAACTCTCATGTAAATAAAAACTTTTGTATTTGAAGGAGCGATGCTTTGCAGCCAGGAGCACATCCCTTGAAGGAGCACAGGTGTTAGCATCAACTGTGAAAAGTGATTTGCAGGATAGACGTGTGTCCTGTTTATTGAAGTCTTTTGTGTTTAGAGTTTTTGGCGTATTGTCCATGCAGAGCTTCTGTAGTTCAGTTGCGTTCATAGCTGCTAGCCAAAACTCAGTGGAGTTGAAGTCTCTTACAGTTTTCTAGCTTTTCTGAAATTGTCATGAACAGAACTCAGAAGACCCGTGAAGACGCCAAACACAGTAAAAGTATAAAAAACGTCTTTATTTGGATGCAGAGTTACCAGGTGGGCGAGGCTGGAGACAGAGTCGGAGACAGGCGAAGGTCGAAATGGCAGGCAGAATACAAGACAGGGGTCAGGAGCGAAAGACGAGGTCGAGAGGCTGAGGTCAGGCAGGGTGAATCTCTGGAAGATCTACTGGCAGAGACTGGAGAGCTGGATGGTTCTTTTATAGCAGGGGAAGCAGGTGAAGTGGATGAAGCTGATGACAGGAACAGGTGAGAAGAATGGAGTTGATTGTGGTTGCCAGGGAAACAGGGCTTGTCAGGAGCTTGGTGAAGGGACCAGGTGAGCTGAATGAAGGTGAAATGAGGAGGCAGAGGAGGGTGAAGGATGGGAGTCATGACAAAATATCTGTCTGTACTTATTTGATTAATGGCAGTTTTTACTTTTTATTAGACTCCAAATGTAATCATTTGGCACGATCCTGATTCATAATTTGCAAGAATGTAATCGACAATATTAGCATTAGCATCGCTATGGGTTTTTCCATGTATATTAGCATTGCGCTAATCTATTGCTGCCAGTCAAATTGCAGCCTTTGCGATAAGAAAATCTCCTTTTGTCACATCACAATTTAAATGCATATTCAGTAAATCGTTCAGCCCTAATGTCTGGTTGCCTTACAGCTGCTGTCCAAGCGGGGCAGTCAGACACTTGGTTATGCCTCCAAGTAGGCAAACGGTAAAAAGTTAGCGCATTTTCCACATTTTCCCCTGGCGTTCACGTTGCACCGTACAACACAGCAGCGATTTCCCATGGTGGCGTAATAACAGATCACATGAATATTAGATTAAAGGAAGCGACAAGACCGACACTTAGCGAGCTGTTGTCAGAAATATCAAGCAACAAGCGAGGACTCGGAGGCTACCCAAACATGGGGGCCATTGATGATGGCGACATGATCCCAAGCTCTATAGGCTAAAGACACAAGTCCCAAAAATCACAAACACCTTCAGGAAGATATTCTGAGGACCTCTAAATCCTCTCAAATTTACTGTTTTAAGTAAAAAAAAAAAGATCTTTGAGTAGCGCTTAAAAAGGTTTTACTCAACTAGATGCCGTTTAAAGCAAAATGATTGAAAACTCCCAAAACATGAAATTTGTAGCTTTCTGCAGAACTGATTTACTGTTCTGATTTTATCAGCAGGGGGTCAGAAATTACCTTCCTGCAGGGAAGCTGAACTGTTGCTGTGGGCTGAATCCGCTTCTGAAACCGAAACACTTTCTGATTAGAGATTTTTCTGCTCCTTTATTTATGCGTGCAGTGAAAATAATCAGACAGCACCAGATGTTCTAGCAGGATCTCCAACCCTAACCACCCGGTCATTAATGCTACCAACGACTCCAGGCCGGCTTCACCGTCAGCCCGTGTGTGTGTGTGTGTGTGTGTGTGTGTGTGTGTGTGTGTGTGTGTGTGTACTTCCTCCATTCATCAAATCTAACAGCAAAGTGGAGATAACCCTAACCCAAATCAGAACCATGGACAGCAGCAGAACTCTCTCTCTCTCTCTCTCTCTCTCTCTCTCTCTCTCTCTCTCTCTCTCTCTCTCTCTCTCTCTCTCTCTCTCTCTCTCTCTCTCTCTCTCTCTCTCTCTCTCTCTCTCTCTCTCTCTCTCTCTCTCTCTCCTAATTAACCTAATTTGTTGACCCGAGTCCTCCTGTTGGATGGGATTGTCATACTCCTCAGCCCCCATCCCCACACCGACCCCCAACACTTCCGTTCTGAATTGGAAACAGTTGTTCTGTCTGAAGACAAAAGAGGGCTGAAGATAATTATTCATGTGTTATTGTAGCATTCTCCACAGAGCGGGGGTCTCAAAGGGCTGCAGCCATAAATGGGATCCTCAGAGCTGTGATGAGTCTTCGATCCGTGGGAAATATCGACTGTAACAGTGAATGAAGAGCTCCTCCGCTCACTGATATTTACCTAAATAACAATACAGATGGTGGCTGGGATTAAGCTCCGTTCTCTACGTGGGAACCTTCTGTAGCGTGTGCAAATAAAAGCAGAACGTGATAGCCAGAGAACAGTCGGCTTGAGTCCTTTGCATTGCTAATGTGTTTCCTTTTCGTACGACTGATTGCACATCTAATTCTGGTTGAGGGGCCCAGGACCCAACCTGGGCTGACTCACGACGCTCTGTCTACTGGCCAGCGTGACTCACCACTCAGCTAATTCTGCTGTGGCGAGCTCACTCCTCCGCAACGACGCACACTTCTGGAATACATTAGTCCAATCCTCCGTGGAGCAGAAAACAAAAGAGAAGGCTCGAACAACTGTCCTCCCGGTGCTTCATCATACAACTTCAGCTACTTCCAACAATTACAACTTCTCTCATCTGTTATGGATGATATGGTGTTTATTCAGAAGACTTGTTTAGGAACATTAACATCCATCTAAAAAAGCCTCCATGTGTGTGAGAACCTAAACGTTGTCTCTCATCACAAATGCTTCTGCATCACAGACCCTCGCCTTCTCTCCTACTGCTTACATTAAATGCACTTCCACAGTGCACCTCCCGATTGGCTTGCTGGCTGCAATGCACCCAACGCAGTCAGAAAATATAATGCCTCATCCAGCTTCCACCGCCAGAAGCCGTTTCCATGTCATGCTGCAGACCTTGGTCATGTGCCTGCAGAGGGTCATTCTCTCCTCTAAGGAAAAAAACTGATGGATTTTTAGTCTCTTTGAGGGAACAATGGTTCGTCACAGCATCTTTACTCCAAGTTCAAGCTGCAATCAACTGTTCATTCAGTCCAAACCCACTGGAGGGTTTGAAGCTCAGACACTCAACATTCACCAGCGATTGTGTTTGTAGCCATTCTGTCAGCTAACCAGGTGAGATAGATAGATCCATAGTCTGCAGTCCAAACATGGCGGAGAAGGAGCGTGCACATGCTGCCATCACGTTGCTTTTTGATTGGCTACACGTTACATTCAGCAGGCAGCTCCCTGGTTTGTTCTCAAAACTCAAACCAACACAATCAAACACATTTGAAAGCCCGGCTGTTTGATTGGAGCGGTGCCGACCAGAGAGCTCATAAAGGATGATTTATGCTTGACGCGTCCGTGAGGTCCGCACGGCTCCGCGCGGAAAAGTTGCGTCATTTTAACAACCACGCCCCTCCACCGCGTCTCCGCACGGCTCAAAAGTTCCGCAACGCGCACCTCGGAAAATTTCTAACCACGCAGACGGACGGACGCGGAAAAACATGGCGGACCAGCAAGAACTAGTATGGCAGAGGTTGGTAAACACAGACATTTGTATGATTCAGCTCTCAGAGATCACCGTGATCAACATGTTGTTAATAATTCTTGGAGAGAAATAGCTTGCACTGTCGGAAAAGACGAGGACGCTGTTAAAAATGCTGGAATGCCATGTTGTAAACAGTAATTTTTACTTCTACTATGGTGTAGTGTTGGGTGCATGCTGTAGAGCTCCATGCTGCCCCCTACAGTTTGGGAGAATATTGGCTCACCGCAGAGACGAGCCGCATGAACCATAAACGCTGCGAGTTGTGAAGCGCGTTCCATCCGCGAGCCGCATCACCGCGCGGAAAGTAAACGCGTCAAGCATAAACCAAGCTTCACACACCACACAAGGTAGGAGTGTCTGATAGGATTATCTTTAGAGAGTGAACTTTGACTGTTTGGACAGTTCTGTGTGTTGGCTGAATCGTTGGGTCCCTGTGGGGTTAGCCTTCTTCCAGGACTGCCTTTTGTTACCGGTTCTGTTCATTCACTCATGGACAGAACTTCTAGGTGATGCTGTGGGGTGGAGGGTGTCACATTTGGTGGCCGAAAAATCTCATCTGTGCTTTTTGCAGATGATGTTGTCCTTTTGTGACTTTCAGCTCTTGCTGCTCTGGCAGCTTATTGTGAAGCAGCGAGGATCAGCACCTCCAAACAGGAAAGTGTGTTGTGGTGAAGAAGAAGCTGAGCTGGAAGGTGGAAGGTTCTGATCCATGTTCAAACCCTCACCTATAGGCCATGAGTGTCCAAAAACAGTTCCGTGGTTTCCTGCTATTGACAGTTACCATGGTAACAAGACCTTAATGAGTCACTGGCAGCAGCTTTAAGATGTCTGTGGATCTCTGTTCACTTTGCACCATGGCTGTCAAACTCCGGTCCTGGAGGGCCCGCGTGTTTTAGTGTTTTCCTGCTTCAGCACATCTGATTTCTATGAGCAGGTGATCAACAGGCTTCTGGGGAGCCTGAGAAGCTGCTGCACAGGTGAATCAAGTGTGTTGAACAGGGAAGCAACACAAAGATGCAGGACATCGGGCCAACGTCCTAAATGACCGTCATGCACATGCTAGATATGTGCTGTAGTTTAGAGCAGTGGCTCCACGTTCACTGTTTGTAGTTAATCCTTTGATGCATGAGAATCACGTAAATCTGCAGTTTAATGGGAGTAACCTCGTGCACGAGTCTGTGGGTAGTCGTATCCTGTCATTTCAGATTCTGTCCATGCAGCTATCAGACTTGTTGCTAATCAGAAATCAGGAAACATTCACGCACGCTGTTGTGAGTGCTGATTGCCAGACTGGCTCCCGGCTTTAACTTGCCCATAAACACAAATAAACCACATCCTAGAAAGGTTATGAAGAGTAGAGTGTGATGAATGAAGTTCACACCGTCTCATCGAATGACAGCCAGACAAAGGGAGGCTTTATTCTCCACAGCGGCTCACCTTGGTTGTGTCGCTGTGTGCCGGCGGCAGCAAGGCCCTCGAGCGCTCGGCAATTTTCTGAAAGAGGAGCAAATGAACAGGCAGGGTCAAGAGGACACTTTCTTCCCTAATGACAGGACTTTAGTGTGATTTGCTGCTGTGCACACTAAATAGCCTTTCACATGTGCTCTTCTTTCCCTTTAGAGGAGCACATGCATTTACTGTATCAGCAGGTCTGTGCTGAACAAAGCTGCTACCTTCTGGAGATCCCCGTAGCGCTGCACAGAATCGGAGAGCTCCGTCTTCAGTCTGGTTAGGCGAAGGCGATCTTGCTGTGCAACAAAATAAAATTAGCTTCACAATTAATCTGCTGTTAATTGTCACAAAAGGCCGTTTGTGAGGAGAGTGAGGAAGCATAAAGTGGGCTACCCGTGAAGAGCCGCTGATTATGTCAGAGAGCTGTTTGATGAGATGACTGGTGCTGGTGATGACCTTGTTGGTTTGCTGCTGGGTGCTGTGTCTGGTACAGGAAGACAGACATGGAGGAATTATAGCACGATATTCCACAGACTGCCTGGCACACACCATAAACACAGTCATGAGAGCAACACTAGAAAAAGGAAACAACAGCTGACATTTCTGAAGAAAATGAGTTTGAATCACAGATTTGCCTTCGGGTCTAAACTGTCTGTAGATCGTCTGTTCCCAGAGCATCCTTTTGGTTTAGTGAAAAAACATGTTTAGCCCTTCAACACCTACTGCCACCTAGCGAATGGGGTTGGTTAAGCAGGGACAAAGAATCTGAAAATAACAGATTCTCCCGCCTCTGCTCTCCTCCCGACAACCCTCGAGTAGACAGAGTACACACAGGGCCTTTAGGACGGTGGGAAGATAAAAAGGATCATCAGCCATGTGAAGCTAGCTCTAGAAAGCAACAGGACTTTGTTGAGACAGTTAACGCTGCGTTAGCACATCTACAGAACAAGCTAGCTGTAGAATGCAAAAGCAAAAATGAACGTTTAGCCATCGTCTGCCGACCATGACGGTAGGGGTGTGGTCGTGACAGCGTGTGAAGAGGGTCAGATGCGTGAGAGTTGGCAGTCCTGCAACAACCAGATGGTCCAATAGAACGTGTTATTGGTCTAGCGTCTTAGACAAATGTGAGAGAACCAATTCCTAGAAATCTTTTCTTTTCATAGCTATGCTAGGTTTGCACATTTCTTGTCATGATCCTGCCATGCCCGGACCTCCGTGCAACATCATTCATCTCATCAGCCTTCATGCAGCAGTAATGTCCAGACATGGTCAGTATTTCATGTACAGTTTGACCCCTTCAGTATTTGGTCATATGGAGGCAGGAGTCTACATTTGTGGCCTTTAATCTGCCGGATCCTGCCATTCCATCTGCTGGAGTCCAGGCCTCTCTGCAGCTCTGAACACACGATAACATGTTGTCAACAAACTGTTTACTTCTCAAGGTCCTTCTGTGCCAAGCCTGCCTGCTCATCTGGGCCGGACTGGACGGTTATAAGAGTGACTGTTTTCAGCTCACATGTCTCAATCAGTCATGAAATGGAAAGAACATATATATATATATATATATATATATATATATATATATATATATATATATATATATATATATATGGTAATCATTAATGTTTGATATG